GCACCGACTAAAACCCCACGGTGGTCGCCAATATCGCAAGAAAAAGGGGGGAATGGGATCTCCGTATGGAACACGACCATGTCCCCTTAAGCGTTGAATATTTATTCCCTTCTGGGGGTTGCCCGGGCCCCATATAACACACTTGCAACCAAAAATCCCCTAAGGAGGGGGAGCGTCATTAATGAACGGGCCGGCAAACGGCGCAGCCCCGCGATGTCGTCTTCGCCGATTGGGATCTAATCTTTCCCGCGACCGCTCAGCAGCTTCTTTCTGAGACATTGTTGATTCGCAGAAGGAGACTACTGCCCTCCACTCTGTGTCACCAATAAGCATAGCAGCCACAACCGCTGCTAGAGACAGGTCATCGCCAATCCGTTGTCTCAAGGCTTGCCGCTGTGTGTCCCAAGCTGGACAGACCGCAAGTGTGTGCGAAGCGGAATCACTTTCCCCAACGAGACAATGGAAACATTCGGCAGTTTCTTCGCGTCCAATTTTATGGAGATAGTCTCCAAAGCAGCCGTGGCCAGTCATTATCTGCGTAAGTCGGAAGGAGAGGCTTCCATGTCGTCGTTGCATCCAAGCGTCGAAAATCGGCAGCACTGCTTCGATGACGCGCTTGTGCGCAGTTCGCTCCTCGGAAAGCCTTATGCGCCATGTCTCAAAAGCATTACGCCTTTCTTCCTGCTTGATTATATCGGGCGTCTCGTCCGGTCTTCCCCTGCCTAGGCGGAGGATGCGAATTCGGTCATACACCCTTGCATCCATCTCGGCCAAGATGTCGAACGGAGGTAAGCGAGCCAAGACTGTTGCCGCCTCAAATGAGATCGTGCGATAACCCCTTACGACCCGTATGGCTATTCTCCGTTGTACGCTATATATCTTCGCTCTACACCGGCGGAGTGCAAGTCTTTTAGCCCAAATGGGAGCACCGTATAAGGCTACGGAGCGCACGATGCCTGCGTAGAGTCGTCGTACTTCCTCATCTGGGCCGCCGATATTAGGCAACAATCTATGCAGGGCACCTGCTACCCTTTCAATTCTGGGAACTAACTGCGTGAAGTGTTCCTGAAAATCCCAGCGGCTATCCAGCGTAAGCCCGAGATACTTCATGTACCGTCCTATTCTAACTTCGGTTCCACTTACTCGAACCCATGATTCGGACGGTTCCTTAGTTCGCGGGAGTTTGTGGAACCACATTGCTTCAGTCTTAGTTGGCGTAATGCCTAAACCCAGCTCCTGAATTTTAGCAACAACGACTTCTGCGCCGCGCTCGGCAATTATTTTTGTTTCGTGGAAAGTCTTTCCATTGGCCAACAACAAAGTGTCATCTGCGTAGCAGATGAGGTTAACACCAGCTGGGAGATCGATACCCAGCACGGCATCGTAGGCAAGATTCCAGAGCAAGGGACCTAACACTGAACCCTGAGGAACCCCGCACAGTATCTGTCTTCGGATTGTTCTGCCTTCTCGGTCCGAATATGTTATAAATCTGTTACGCAGGTAGTCGCCGATAATCTCTTGCAAATAAATGGGTAAATTATGGTTTACAAGTCCTCTTTTTATAGCGTCCCAAGGTAAGCTATTAAATGCGTTGGAAATATCTAAGCTTATCGCTAATGCCACGCCGCCCTGGGATATAGCCAGTTCTGCCAATGAGCGGACATGTTTAATCGCGTCTATAGTTGAACGCTGACGTCGGAAGCCAAACTGGCATTCGGCGAGGTCGGGACCAACAAAAGACAGATGCCGATTAATACGGGCGGCAATAATCGTTTCAAATATTTTAGATACCTCATCCAACAGGCAAATAGGTCGATATGCTGAGGGAGAATCTGCGGTTCTGCCTGCTTTCTTCAAAAGGATTAACTGCGCTACCTTCCAAGCCGTTGGGAATACGGTGTTACGGAGACAGTTGCTGAAAAGTTGCCCCAACCTCTCGCCTAGGATGGGACAAATTAAGGCCCACACCCGACTCGCTATTCCATCTGGCCCCGGGGCAGGAGATTGTGTTTTAAAGCGACTTACGGCCTGGTTGACTTCTTGGGTGCTAACCTCCATTTCTTCTCGCCATGTCACCTGTGAAACGTGCTGATAAACAGACGAAGATGGGACTCTTGGGAATAGGGCGTCAATTACACACCTCAGGTAGCCCGGATCTAGTGATTCCGTCAGCGGTGGGGACCTAGGACGGAGCTTACCCATAACCATCCTGTAAGGCCGACCCCACGGGTCTGTGTCGAGGGTTTTTAAGAGATCTTTCCAAGATCGCGTTTTAGCTTCTGAAATTGCTGATTGTAACGCTTTTGTCGCTGATCGATACGATGTGTATAGCCTTTCTACTTCATCTGCGGAAGCTCGACTTCTTCTGCGAGCTCTAGTGTACTGGCGTCGGCTTCGTAGGCATATGGCACGTAATCGCGAAATTTCCGCAGACCACCAATGGACGGCACCTGACTTAGGATTACGACGGCCAGCACGAGGCATAGATGCATCGCAAATGGATGTCATCACGTCGCGGAGCCACGCAGCTTCTCCCTCCGGATCCGTAATGAATCGTTCGATGCGCTGTGGCCAAGTAGCAACGCTGGCGGCCGCGACAAGCATGTCCCGATCTAGCTTTTTCAGACACCAGCGTGGCTTTGGATTAACACGATTACCAGCATTTGTACCGGGACGGTGGACTGAGACGTTAAAGAAAATGTGTCTATGGTCTGATAGAGTAACCACATCTTCAGCGACCCGCCATCCTGACAAAAGACGCATTGCGGAAGGTGTCGCCCATGTAAGGTCAACAATTGACTCCCCCTGCCAACGAACACATGTGCTTACAGATCCCTGGTTTAATAATCGGAGGTCTAGTTCAGCCGACCAGTCCAGTAATGTTCTGCCCTTTGGCTTATCTCTAGGGTTACCCCAAGCTCTGGCATGAGCGTTGAAGTCACCTAGGACGATAACAGGTAGTGGGTGGCAATCCCGAACGCAGGCAGCTAGCGTATCCAAGTAGGCTTTATATTCGGAGAGAGACTTATTTGGAGATATATAACAACCCACGATAGCCAGAGCGCCCCATCGAATCGCCAGCAAACCTGTTCCTTTATGTAGGAGGGAACACATTGGGACGCGCTCTCTCCCACTCCAGTGGATCGCTACAGAACAAGTTAAATCCCCAAACCACTGCGGATGATCCGGCACTGTATAAGGCTCTGCCAGTACTGATAGGGCAACCTGCTGCTCTGCAATGGTCTGCATTAATAATTGCTGCGCGTTGCGGCAGTGGTTCAGATTACCCTGGAGAACTTTTAAGAATTCGAATTTTAAGCTTCCATAGCCTCCACTTCCGAGACCGGGTCTGGCATCGACGCACTGAAAGTAGGGGCCGTTACGCCTGCATAAGCGAAGGATTTGCCTCCTGTCCTGCCGCGTTTTTCCTGAAGAGAGGTACAACTCATACCATAGCGATGGTCCGAAGGTTTACCAAGATCTGAACATAACGGAGAGATTGTAGCCTAAACGGCTAAAAGGATCTTTATGAAATTTGGCACGGATGTAGAGGATAGTCTATAAGAACACATACGCTACTTATTTTTTTTTTAATTTCTCACGGACGGAATCGCGGGCGAAAGCTAGTGCTATGATAAATATATGTAGGTAGGTACTATAATGTCAAAGGGACTGCTTACCTCCCATTACGTCCAGACAAGCCCAAGAGTGGGACGTAAAGAAGCTACTTAAAAGTTGACTATTTACTTTTTAGTTATATTATTCATAGAATGAGAGCTCAAGAAGCTCGGCTTGCCACTTTGTACTGTGGAATAAAACATCTCCCTGCATCATAAAGTATTAAAGCAAAACCGGAGGATGAGTAGGTGGAGATATAATTTTCAAAGCTAACCGTACTTAGAGGTTAATATCTACTATTTTTATAGAGAAATCTTTCTACATTACCAAGAATTTTAAAAATATTGTTCTTCAAAATTGTATTTCCAAAACTAAACTGGTCAAATAAATTCAATATTTTCATAATCATCTGAATACTAAAATTGATATTGTCGATTATGCACATTCAAACTAACATGAGGGAACACGTTTTTCTGTTCTTCGAAATGTTGCATACAGTCCGACAAATTTTATTGGCCCGATGACTGTTTTCCAATGAGAAACAAATGATTGAATAGAAAATGACACGCGATATAAGATGGGTATAGTTGGGTACATTTTTAAACCGACTGGAATTTGTAACTTGCCAGATAAGGTTTTCGCACTATAACATCGTGTGAACACTAAGGTGCAGTAATGACATTAGGTTCGCAAACAGCAACTACGGCGACAGTGAGCGCGGTGAGCGCAGTGGACGGAGAGGGTGCAGTAGGCGCGGTAGGCGCGCTGTTGGGTGACCTGTGTACAGATGATGTGGACTGTGAGGTGCTGCCGGGCGCGTATTGCGCTCGCGGTGGTTGCGTCTGCCGACCCGGGTTCACGCCTACCGTACACAGAAAAGCTTGTATTGGTAAGTGACTACTTTAGTTAGTTGTATTTCTTTGTACGGACGGAAGGAAATTATAAAACTATACAAATTGTATTGCATAAGCAGAGAGCATGTGTTTTGTTGATTGGCAGGGTCCAACATCTATCCTTCGTGTGTACAAAACTGAAACGCATAACATTTTATTCGAATAACTGAATATAAAATGACCACAGAACAATTTCTTACGAGGCGAAAAGTAAAAACCCCTAATTCGAGTTCGTATTGGCAACAATTTATCAGTCTTTTCTTTCGTTATCGACATTTGACCGTATAAATTCCAACTCTCAGTTACAGAATATAGAGATCTTCGGCCATTTGATATCTATCCAAATCCAATTGCTGTCTTGTTTATATTAATTTATTATTTTTTTATGATAAGGGTTAGTTTAAATAATACTGAACTAACACATAAAATTAGTTTCAATTGTTTATTATTGGAAAAAATGTACATGTGTTCGTATACACAAGTTTTAATGAACTCTACATATTTACTAATCAACATGCATTAATGCATATGCACCGAAATGTAATCTGAAGTAATTAACTGAAGGGGCTATGGATATGTAATAGTGCGTAACATTCGAGTGACGCAGTGCGTAGAGGGACGTGCGTAGAACTTCATACACCATGCCCCGGGAATTACGGTCACGTGCGTTTTCCTTTCTCCCTCACTTTCCCTCATATTTTTTATATTTCTTATATTTTTTCTCGCGGCCACATTTTTTTATATCTTAAAGTTTTTTTTTGGTAATTTGATTGCAAAAATCTAGTTCAATAACAAAAATTACAAAGTATTTTGCATGATTGATCTAAAAGAAAATAATTTTAGCATTTTAGCTAAGTCTTTACCAGCTTTTTCTGCTGTTATACACAACTGGTCTACTAAAGACTAAATAACAAACTAATTCCGATTTTGTTTATCAGATTAAGTTAAACATTTAAATAGAAATGCATTTATCAAATATAAATGGCCGTTCTGTGCAATCAAAGCGGATCTATTTCATTCTGGCGTATACTCAAGAAGTTATTTAAACAGAGTCCGTAGTTTGCAGTCACTGGAAATGTACATTCAGCTCAGAGTACAGATGTTAATTATGTTGTGACTATCTCTCAGTATCGCTAATTAATTGTGTCATTGTTTTACTTTCATTTCGTCCATTTTAATGAAGAGACTAAGGTAAACTTTCCTTAACTTTGTCAATTATACGTTTGAGTGATTAATCAAATCATTATTAATGGAGAATAAGATATTTTAGGTCACCTGTATGTCATTATTTCTGTGTAAATGCTATATTTATATGTATAAACAATTTGGTGTTCTATGACTTGCTATTTACACAGACTTATGTGTGATTATGGATGGCTACAAAGATAGGGGAAGTCCGAAGAAAGTATGGATAGATTGTGTGACTTAAAAAGGGAGTAAATTCAGATATCACAGCTGATAGAGATGTATGGAAGAGCAGCACATACTGTGCCGACTCTCCTTAGGGACAAGTTGATGACGATGAATGAATTTAATTATTTACTTCCAGAAGAAGTTACTCAAGACACGACTGAAGAGTATAGCGCATGTTTATCTGAACCTTGTCACAACCTCGGTACATGCGTTGATTTACCCGGCACTACGTATACATGCATCTGTACTAGCCTTTACACCGGTTCCAACTGTGAAACGCTTATCAAAGACGGCTTAACGAGTGCATACATCGAAACTCCCTCGTTCGACGGCTCCTCTTACATTCGATTGAAACCGCTCAAAGCCTACCATAAGTTGAACATCGATATCGAATTTAAAGCCTTCACTGAAAACGGAGTCATATTGTACAATCAACAGAAACCTGATGGTACTGGAGATTTTGTATCACTGGCTTTGGTAAATGGATATTTGGAATTCAGGTAGGTAAAACGTTAAACAAAAATATTTCTCTCATTTCGTAGTAGTTGGAGGATTGTAATCGATGACATGTTATTATTATTATTATTGTTGTAATAAAGTCATGTTGTTTACGTATGTTTGTATAGATACAATCTCGGTAATGGAGCAATCATTTTAACGTCTCTCGAAAAAATCACACTAAATGAATACCATAAAGTATCAGCTAAGCGATATCATCGCGACGGTATTTTATCAGTGGACGGTATGGAAGACGTCGCGGGTCAGTCCAGTGGCAACTTGAAAGCCTTAGATCTAGCCGACGATACGTTCATTGGCAGCGTTCCAACGAACTTTTCCAGGTGAGTCACATTCACATATACCAATGTAGTTACCAATTCTAAGTAGAAATTCTGTTTTCATCGCGAAAGTAATCAGATCGACGTTATTAATTACTTCCTTTCAACGTACAGTCATAAAGTAATGAATGCCTTTATTCAGGGTCTTCGATAATATCGGCACCCGAGCCGGCTTTGTCGGCTGCGTGAAATACTTGAGAATAATACGTCATCAAGTGACAAAGAAATTGGGCCGACCGGACTCATTAGTCCTGTCTATAGAAAACGTAAGGGAGTGCCAACCTAACCCTTGTATGAGTATGCCGTGTAAGAACGAAGCTACGTGTAAGCCAACGGACGGATCGGCGATTGAATATACATGTATCTGCCCTATCGGATTTCAAGGAGCCAATTGTGACGAGAGATTAGATCCGTGCGAGTCGAATCCCTGCGGACACGACGAGGGCCTATTGTGCGACATCTCTCCCGACGGCGGACACGTCTGTCGCTGTTTGTTTGGAGGCGAAATAGGATCTAATGGAAATACTTGCAGCAACGGTATGTAATATTCCATTTACATCCTTATGTAATAAATATCATTCTCTTGTTATATAAAGAAGAAATTAATTTCAGACGTCAGCGTAGTACAGGAAACTTGGTCGCCCCAGTTTAATGGGACGAGCTACATAGAATTATTGCCGCTCGAAGGCTTGGGCAAAGCGTTCCGAATTGAAATTTGGTTTTTAACGAACCGATTCTCCGGAATGCTGTTCTACACGGGCCAGTCTAATAAAGCCAAGGGGGATTTTATTGCGATTAACTTGGTTAATGGCTACCTACAGTTTAGATATAATTTAGGCAGCGGGATCGCTAATATCACGTAAGTATAATATCAAACACGTGTATATAACGTATTCAAGTTAACTACAAAAATGTCTTTACCGTTTCCCTTTTTGTAACCTAATTAATTTTTGTTTACGAGTTTGCTTTCTACTTAGGTCGCCAGTGCCGATCACGAAAGGTCGGTGGCATCGTGCACGAATCACACGGATGGGTCGGCACGGTAGCCTGCAGCTCGATCACCATCCAACTCAGAGGGGCCACTCAGCACCGCCACTTACTAACCTTGAACTCACTCTACCACTGTTCATTGGCTCTTTGCCGTAAGTATACTTAACTTAAAAAGACAAATTTTGTAGGGTTTTTTTTTCAATTATGTTGTTCATTTCTTTTCAGTTTGCTCTTTGCAAAACAACTGACATTGTTTTATGATCAATGATTTTGACTACTTTTGATTGAAGAAAGAAAGCAATGAATCGGTTTTGTAATGTCCTAAATCTTAAAGTATAAAAACAATCTTAGTACATGAAGGTTTAATTAAAATCAACAAACCAGATTCGTTCATCATCCCTTTTATTATGCATAAAATATGAGCCACATTTTATAAGTTTTTTACATTAAAATTCCCTCTCAAAGGGTTGAAGCGCACTTAGGAAGTCATCAATCTTATTCCTACCGCAAAGATATTTGAATCTGAGCCCCTTTTTCAGAGCATACATCCGTCCGCATAAAATGTCTGGAGTGACCAGCAGTTTTATAGGCGCTGTGCAACAGGTCTTTGTGAACGGCAGCCCTCTAGTATTGTATAATGCTGATACAGCGAAATGCGCACTTGTACAAGATGAGTATAGGCTGCCTTGTGCTACGAGCGGGGTTACCAAATATATTGGACCACCTTGCGGCGATGGTACGTAGTTTTAATTAGATACGCAAGTAATACAATGATAAATATTAACTCTTCTATACTAATATTATAAAGAAGAAAGATTTGTATTTTTGTATATAAATAACACAAAAACTACTGGGCCGAATTTAAAAGTTCTTTCACCGTTAGAAAAGTGAATATCAGTGATTGAACATGGGTATTTTTGTCATTTCTATTTCACTAGGACGAAGTCGTGAGAAACATCTAGTTACTAATAATTCTATTGTCTAGATTCTCATTTAAAACTGTAATATTTTTCAAAGATTCTAAACTTTTTCCATCTGTATTCATTAAACTTCTAGTTTTAGTATAGAATCGTTACTAGTGCGTTAAGCGTATTTTACATGTTTACATTGAAACTAAAATGTGTTCAAAATAAATGAAATTAGGTCTGACTCCGTGCAAGAACAATGGATCCTGCATTCCATTATTAAATGAGTACAAGTGCATTTGCCGCGACGGATACCACGGCAGGAATTGCGAGCTGCAATTAAAAGTAGAGATGCTAAATGACGGTGCGCCTATTAAGTTCGACGGGAACAATTATTATTCGTACAGAAGTAAAGGTAGCCGCAGGTGAGATAAGTTCATAATTACACTTCCACGACACTTTGATAAATTATAACAATTCTAAATCTTGATAAATTACTAGCTGTATTTAATCATGACCATATAACATTTCTTATTAACATTATCCTCTATATTTCTAGCTTACGAACTAACAAAGACGTTGGTGAAGGATATGATATAAGATAACATAAAAAGGACGAATCCAGATATTATTTTAACTATAATTTTTAACACCAGTGCTGTAAATTAGATTAGGTAAATGTTCAAACTTAATCATAACTATAACTAATTTTAACAATCGTCAATTTAGCACGTGTGCACAATATGGAAACACGTTCAAATTGCAAAGCACTCGCCTACATATGTTTCACCACCCCGAATACACCTCTGTTTGTACAATGAACACCAAAGTTAGACTGTTCGTTAGCCTCGTTACATTATTTGATCGTGTAAACTTTTCTGTACACTGTACTAGCGTACGTTTTACCGTCATCAGTCACAGATGCTAGAATATTGTGCACACGTGATACTTATTTTGTATCCTAAATTGTCATTGATTTTTATGACACTGTGGATTTTTAATTTATTACATTATTTTAGGAACCGTGATATTCGCGGTATTAGATACGAAATAAAGTTCCGAACTTATAATGACTCAGGACTTTTATTATGGCGGCGTAAAATAGGGATTCGACCGCGTGATTTTATCGGCCTTGGACTTATTGGGGGACGATTGCAACTAATTTACACGGATACTGATATCAAGGAGGTGAATTTGGCATCTCAAGAGGACTGGTTCCAATCTATCGAATCTAAAGTGAGGGTAGATGATGGGTTATGGCACACGGCAACGGTGAGACGAAGAAAGCGTCTGGCAATGTTGCAAGTTGATGACGCTTCCCCTGTGAGAGGGTATTCACAGTCATTGTTGGTGCCCTCGAAAGCCAACCCTAAGCTATGGATAGGTATGAAGTTTTGTCTATATTTCTAGTCTATGTTTCAGTAAACTAATCTTTTTTTGACTTGGAAAGCAACATCAATATCCTTTCTATATTTTTAGATGTCAACAAAATTTCCAACCCTGTAACAGTGAAGGTGCGATTTAATGGTTGTGTTTATTTTTTTTTTATTTCATTTCCAAGGAGGATCTCCATCCCTACCGCTAGGGTTGCCAGTCGCGCTGTACACAGGTCTACGAGGATGTGTTGCAAGCATTAAATCCGGCGGAAGATATTTAAACCTACAAAATCCTATACGACCGATAACGAAAGTTAGGCATTGTGATTAGCATGAAATATTTCTTTTTACATTTTCTAAATAGACCTTTACTATGTTTTTATAAAACATTTAAAATTGGATATTATAATGTGTTATTTTCCATAAATCGTGTCAAAATTCTGTATCATAAATAACGTTTTATTTACCTTTACTTTATTTTAAATCTATTTTTTTGTATCTTTTTGTTATTTCTGTGAAAAGTTTCGTAACAAATCATACTTAACGGACAATACTTTTAACCACTATATCTTCGGACATAGATTTTTCATAATTTAGCCTTACCCTCCCAATTTTATAGAACAAAGAGATTATTCATATCTTTAACCAAAAGAGATTGTTGCCATATTACGTTATGTTATAGTTTTAGTTGTATATATAGATTTTGTATTGCTTTAACCATATGTAATCGGTGCTGAGATCGCACGACACGGATTATTCAAAGGAAAATTTCAGACATTCTTGTACAGATACATAAATCTAGCTACACACGTTTAATTTTATCTGAATAATCTGACTGTTCAGATAAAACTGAGCGTGTGTTGAGGGCTTAAGACAGTATGTATTACGTGTTAATTAGGCCGTTATAATTAAGCGTAGAAATGGTTGCTATCTGATAGTTCCCTAATATAAGCAGAATCATGATAATAATATTATAATAAATGTTTATATTATCATATTTTATTAATGTCCAACACATTAAATTATTAATAATTGTGCTTTAATAGGAACATTCCATGTTAAGTTTATAATAACATTTTCTTACGTATTACAAAAACATTCCCCCAGTTAAATCTACGAGTTTTTGAATATTTTATTTCTATGATGTAATTTCTTATATTTATATTGTAGTATTTTTGTGTGATGATATTTATGATAAGAATGATTGTTTTATAATTTGAAGTGCCATAGTTATATCTTAATACTGTGCATTTTATTTTTAAGAAGTAAATAAGTGTATAACATTAATTAACGATTTTTTTTCGACAATGAAAATGGTATAAAAATTGTTAATTAAAAGTAATGGATTTGAAAAGCAATAAATATGAAATTATTAGTATTTACTTTTGAAATTATTGCTTTAAATTGTATAACTTTTTACAAAAAATTGTTGGAAGTTTTTTTTAAACAATAAACCGCGGCATTTATTTGTAAATATGTACATAGGAATATAAAGTAGTCGTTTTTATAAGCCGCTTAACTGTTTTGATGATCCCACAAATTCTATATATCAGTAGACGATTTAAATATTTATATTGTAAATTAAGAGGGTAATTATGTAGCTCAGAGCGAATCAAAAATGTGGTAAATACGAGTATCGAGTGTGAGTTACTACGTTAGAAAAAGATAACCCATAAATATCGAATTTATGATTTAAATTGGCGAGTTATATTAAAATTAGCTGTTAATCTAAATTAAAAATTAACTCTAATTTCCGTTCGAAAATTATGTAGACATATGCTTTAAAAATTTTAATCTAATGAAAGCTTTTAATTTTTTACTCGCTGTCTAGTATTCTTGTAAAGTATTATACGTAAAAAAAATAATATAAAATAAACAATGACAATATTAATATTTATCTACACGGGATTTAGATTTACATTGATATGTTAGGAGTGCTTCGTGTTCCGATGATACTATCAGGGGGTCTAGCACGAAAATTAGCGACAAAGTAAGTAACGTCATCGAAAAAAATATTAACAGTGTCTAGTGCCCTATCGGATGTGAAGTAAACTGATAAACCTCATTCAAATTTAGATGTTACGAATACGTTCTCGAATATGTTCGTGATAGGCCCCCAGTTCTAATAGACTATTTAGGTTTAACTTCCTATTCATTCGGGACATATACTATAAATATTTCTATTTGAATGTGCTTATTAATGTACCCACATATCAAAATGACATGAGCAAGGGCACAGAAATAACTTATGAACGCCTAAATGTTACGTCACTGGGTTAGAACATATCTTCCAATCTGTTATACAGTGTGTGTTTTGATGTACCTTTATTAGTTTAAATAAAACAAACGATAAAATAAATGAGACTGCAGTACTTGTTTGTGTACATTTATTTCCCTCTCCCTTAAACTATGATGAATATCAAAAATATTTTTTTATTGGCAATATTATTTTTCAATCATAAACAGCAGTGATGTGATACAGGATGATGTAACGATAATAATCTATCTATTAATGGAAACGTAGTTCTAAAACCACAAAAACAAATTTGTTTACTTAGATACGTGAAAATAAATAACAGATAAAAATAAAGTATTTTTCAATGACAACAGAGGTCATCAGAATCTGTAAAAATATTCCGAAGCATTTTTTGTATGTACTAAATTTAGATCAATAATGGTTCTCATACATTTTTGCAAGACACAGCTCTATTGGCAAGCCAATAGATGGCGCTTTATTAACGCAATTTATCGTGATAAATAAATACATTTATGCCAAATTTCAACGAGATCTGTTTAGCAGTTTAGGATACAAACTCTAACAAACTTCCATCCATCCTTCTAAACTTTTGCATTTATAATATCAGTAAGATAAGGATTTAAATTTAATGATTTCATGTCTTTATTATGTTAAGATAATGAAGTAACGCTTACTTCATAAAAGAAAATAAAACATGCATTTTCACACTATAACATATTTTATAATAGGTAGATTTGTATGAGATACGTAGCAAATGGTAGTCATTTCACAATCTGCGAAAAGATCCTTTCAGAAAATGGACAGAGATCAACACCAAAGAAAGACTAGCTTTCTTACTAATAGCCTCATCAATACTGATGTTATAGCTGTGTGTTAGTAAACCGAATTGCACTTTTATATTCTTTTATAAGAAATCACCTTTTTTTTTGGTTTTTGAGTTTTTTCTACTGTTGACTTAAGAGTTTAAACTCTCACATGTAGAAAAAAAATTCGTCCCTTAAATACGAGTTAAGCAGCGAAATGTATATTCCATGAGAACTATAAAACACTTTTTATTGTGTGTCATATCTCAGGTTTTTTTTTTTAAATTAAAATCAAGCCACTAAAATAGACTAGCTTTTTAACTATTTTTGATGTAGTCTGTACTCTTAAAAGTTATTTGTTAATCCGTGCTATTTATCAATAAATTCATCTTTATTAAAAACAACAATATTGTTAGGACAATATTAGAAAACGGAAGAAATAGTAGGGGGTAGTTTTATACAATTTATGGCAAGGAGTGGCTCTGGCTCAGTTTCAGTCTCGGCACTCAGTCGCCAACAAGCTCAGTGTTTTCCTAGTTGACACCACGGAACGTTCGATATATTTGCGTTGTCACATTGGAGTTCAGTTTTGTGTTTTAAAGTAATTTACAGGCATTGTTAATATGGCCGTCCGTCTATATTTTAAAGGTAGTCATTTGTGGAAATATCTAACAATAGTTAATTAAAAATAAAAACGTAATTACAATTCTTGGGAATTTCTAATTCCGTTTTATCATAACGAAACGTCAAAATTTACGTAACGAAGACTTGGCGTTATTTAGACGTTTTTATTTATTTAATTTCGCCAACATCTTAGGTGTAATTAATTAAATTTGTGCGATCTTTAGAATACGTGACCGGTGTTAAAATTGATATTATTTTCCTTAAATAGAATTAATTTTGTAACCCACGTTTTATGATATTTTGGAACTCAGGAGTTTCCAAGGAATGAATCGAATTATCGAGTTTAAGTTAACTGTCTAATATTTATTTAAAATAAAGCCATATATAATTGAAAAAGAAAACTACAATTTTCTGTCAGGTTAATCTATACTATATTACTATACATCTATACTATACTATATCTTATATCTTATCAACCTTCTATACCTATCTATCTATATTATTATAATAAAGCGTAAACACACATTTCTTTGTTGCCTAAGATGTCAGCAATTACAGTATATTTTTAAATAATTATTTCTTTAATAAAAAGCTCTACACTTACGCCACGCTTTAGGTTACATATTTTCACGCTATTAAACTTAGAGGGTAAATAAATTGGATAAAATCGCTTATGTGGGAAAGAGACCATGAGTTGCTGCCAACATCAAGGAAGCAAGATTACCAAGGTTTGTAATGACATGTCATTTTGACATTTGCAATTGATAATTTGACAATAAAATAGAATTTTCATAATTTCATGCGGATGAAGCCGCTCGGAAACAGCTTGTTTATTAATATTTAAAAAAATCATTAACAATATATAAAATTTGTCTAAACGTCATAAAAATGTTACTGAAGTTTTGAATATTATTACACTTGATTTTTTTACTTTTTTTTTTACTATCCATGCTTCAATCAAGCACCCATGTCGTGACTGACGAGGGATACTTCTTGGGAACGCTAACTGTAATCTGTTCTTAATTAACGTGATTAAGATTTATTGAGGCTAGAACCTTTCCCGATGTTACATAAGCGTTTTAACTGAAGAAACTTGTTCATTCAAAGCAAATATAAATATGATGATATTAGTAAAATATAATGTTACATATATAGTATTTATATAGTCTGAATTAGGTGCAAAGAGTTAAAAAAACGATTAATTTGTATTTATTTAAGTAATTTCCTCGCGTAAGAAATGCAATAAATAAGGCGATTGAGGTACCCTTAGAAGTTTTACTCTAAAAGGTAAAAAATAGATATATCATTATTAATTGTAGACGTTTATTTGCGATCTATGCCAAACTGTGCTGAATTTGCAAACCGTTACGTCATACATAAAGGTTTATAGCAAACTCCCTGGCTCCCCAGCCAGAGGCTTGTATTATTGTAGTTATCTTTGACAGACACCCACACCTACACAAATATTTGCGTGTTAGCAGAGCGATAAAGCGAGAAGTTAGTTAATTGATCGAGAATAGGTCGCTTTTGGTTATTGCTGAATATTGTGCTCGATAACAGTACTGGATTTTATATTTAACAATGGCTTATAAGCTATCATATATGATTATTTAGAAACGTTATAAATAATTTTATAAAACTAAAAAGTGTATAGTATTTAATAAAATAACTGTAAATAATAGTAGTAGAGTTAAAAAAACTTTATCGGGTTGTGGTTAACCGAGCCTATAATGCGCATAGCATGAAAATTTCTATGAGCCAAGTTGGAGAATTCCTTATATTGGTCTTAAATGTTTATGCAAATCACAGTACCACTTTATTTTTAATTACAACTTTTACACTATCCCTGCCATCATCTAGTTCAATTAAAGCCCGTTACACACGCTCAGTTTTATCTAAACAATCCTATCGTTTAGATAAATTTAACAAAACTGAGTTATTCAGTACACATTCACCTACACACATTTATCTGAACTATCCGACTGTTCCGATAAATCTGAGTGTGTGAAGCGGGCTTTCAAATTGTTCATACTTAAACAATTAACTGATTTTTGATATTTATAAACATTTGACAAACATAAGATAGAATAACACCTATTTCAAGAGACAAATTTCCATGAAATAAAATTTTTCGTTTTGCTATTAAGGCAAAGTATACTGAGGCAAAGTATATATGATTCACTTTTTGCTTTAAATGTATCTAAGTAGTGCGGAGTTACACAATTATATTTTCATGAGAGATATCTTAGGTCTTATATCTACAATTATTTAGTCTAAAACTGCGGTTGGTTAGTTGCCAGCAAAGTTTATAATGTTATTATATACAATAGTTGAACAAGGATGGCTTTTTAAATTAAAACATTAATTTAAGAATAATCTTTTGAATCTATGTAATAATATTTGATATTATCCATTCTCTTTTAGATATAATAATATTTTAATTTCCAGGACAATACCT